AAAAAAAATGTAAAATTAATATTTTTATTTACACTTTTTCTCACCTAAATACTTTCAATAGTTTCCAATTTTAATTTTATCTTATGGTGCAAAATGCGTTTATCTTATCTTTAGGGGGAGAGGATGTAGCTATCTCAAGCTTCAAAGGAGTGTGTCTGCAATTTTACCTTTTATATATTATCATTGTGACAAAATTTCATTGTAAACTTGAAAATCTTTTCTTTCGCTTTGCTTCAAAGTTACAGTCAACTGCAATATATAAAATCCCACTCTCCTGTGGTGTGTTAATAACAAGGTGATATGGCTTGATTCTATATGGTTTATGTCATCAATTGGATGGGAAACTACATCAGTTGGGGATAAGTAATAATAGAGATGATGAAAAGTTATTTTAAGCAACGATGCATTATTATACATAATAAAAATAATTAAGTCTTAAAACTTTATTAAATGAGTCACAATTTATATTCTAAACTCAATAATGTATTAATCTTAAACTATGACACATAAGAGGATACAAGAATTGCATCACACATAATGATCCAAGAGTTAAGTTTTTCATATAGCTAGTGTAATATGGTATTGTGCATGATTTTAGTTTTCATAATTAATTTAGAAAATTGAGCATCCAATTTTTACAAAAACAACTTCATTGTGATACCTGCGTAAATAAAATTCAATAATAGTGCCCCTACAACTCGAACACACGACTCAATACAAACTACAAGTTTACTAAGAATTTTAAATCTCAATCATGTAACATTGTATGATACTTACATTTACACTTTAGGAAACTTGAGTAATATACCTTCATAAATGATTTCTCTATGATTCATTTTTTTCATGCGAACCCATTTTTCAAGAAATATTACTTGATATCAATCTCTAAGAATTATTGCCTGCAAAATTCTAATTATGAGTTAAGTATCCTCGTATGAGATTTTAGGCTTTTTAGGCCAAGTGGTATTCCCTCCGTGTACACGAAACCCTTAGATTATGCACCTAATCTTTTTTTCAACTTTTTTTTCTTTACCAAAGGCTCAGTTTGTGGTACAATGGCTGCAAAAAGTTTAATCTCTTTTCTAAACCACACCACCCACAAAATCTTCACTAGGTCATTCAAATACATCACTTTCACTTTCATAAATAGGTAACTCTTTTCTTTAATTTTTTTAGTTAGGTTCTCAAATTTTTTATAAACCCATTTTTTACATGCACATATTTATTCATTATTTTTATCATTTAAAAATAATAATCGCAAATTATTCTTAAAATTTTCAAGTAAGCAAAATATTTACATACAAGCCTCTTACATTTCCACCCCTCTCCAAATAATATTTACTATAGAAAATAAAATAAGCAATCACACGGCCTCTTGTGAAAATAATAAAAGTTTAAAGGCCAAAAAGGAGATTTTACAAGTGAAGGAGACCAATGGCATTGCACAGAAGTTGGAGGATGAAAATGAGGGTTTAAACTTTAAACGCTTCTTTAAGATATATATATATAAAACCTAACTTTTGAGGTGACGGAAAACTGAGGATAAAAAAGCATTTGCTGACGTGGAAACGGAAAACATGCATCTGGAAATCCTAAAACGGAGGAAAAAAACTTAAGAGAGCACAAACGGCACGGAGAGTACCCGAATGTAGCAAGCTGAGCGAGGAAGAAGGGATAATGCTTCAGAGGAACGAGAGCCAGTTTATAAAGCACGCGATTCCCTACTCCCAGCACCACCGTAGCCGTAGCCGCAATCGCCACTTCCACCATTCGATTTCTCTCTCTCGTCCTGCTATCCATCTCTTCCACACTCCGATCAACGACTCTCCGATCCTCGAGTGAGTAAGAGCACGCTCCTGCCTTCTTCGCCACATCTCCGCCATCCGATCAACTGTCTTTCTCGTCTTCAATCTCTACAAAGTGAGCCTGGCTCCGCCGTCGTTTGAGGTGATCGCCGTCTATAGTCTCTCTTCCCCTGCAACTTAGCTGTCGAATGGTCTTACTCTGTCTTCTGCATCTTCAATTTGTAAGCAGTTTTCTCTTAACCAGCGTAAATCAATCAAGAACAAGAGAGTTAACATTTCATATTGGAATTGAATTACATAGATTTCTCTTCAATTGAGACTTACCTTCTAAAAGCCCTAACTTTTTCACTTCCTCCTTCCTGAACCCAGAATCCATAGACAGAGGAACTCTCATTCTTCACTCTCAAACATGTTCTTCCACATAGTATTGGAGCGCAACATGCAGCTACATTCGTGCCACTTCGGCCGCAACCACCGTGAGAACCTCGTTTCCAAGCTCATGAAAGATGTCAAGGACACTTGCAGGTTTTTGTCTTTTTATTTTTATTTTATTTTATTCTAGTTCTCAATTTCATTTGTTTGATTATTTGAGAGATCAATGCTAGTGAATATGCTTAAAATTCTCTGCATCTCACCGTCAATCCTTTCATTGTGACAACCAGTGTTTGTGGTGTAAATTGCTGAATTAATTTATATTCTCTATTCATAATGTATGTCACTGTACATATATATATACACAAAAGAAGTATATCAGAATCATAACTTAACTAAAGTCTAGGAGAATTATAACTGTACACAAATATGCTCCTGATTCCGAGAGATTTCTACCAGAAACTGTTTATACCAGATACTTTATACCAGATACTGTTTACTCTCCCCCTCAAGCTGGTGCATGAGGGTCATGAATGCCCAGCTTGTCCCGCATCAAATAAAAACTGTCCTTGCCCAATGCCTTTGTGAAAATATCAGCTGGTTGATGAGAGGAAGAGATTGGTAATGTGCAGAAACAATACCAGTCTGAAATTTCTCACGCACCAAATGACAATCAATTTCCAAATGTTTTGTCCTTTCAGGAAAGACAGGATTGGCAACAATGTGGTGAGCTGCCTCATTATCACAGTAAAGAGGTGTGGAGCGACATTGGCGAATACCAAAACTGTGTAATAAGTTGCGAAGCCAAATGACCTCTTTAGTGGTAGAAGCCTATGAGTGTCGTGGGTCATCATGTATTGAGAAAAATTGTCATCTCTATGAGGATCCACTATTGCTTTGAAATTTTCTAATGTATCGAACAGGCAAAGGACCAAAAAAGTCATTGTTGGAGAGGTCCAGGATTCGTAACTTGGGAAAAGATGGACGTTCTTTGGTGCTAATTACAAAACCATGGAATTTATTTGACCTTAACACCAGCACTCTTAGATTTGCTATCTTGTTGTCTCCAAAGTTTAGAACCTCTAGCAAGCTACAATTCATCAAAGATCTTGGCAACAAGCCTTCCATTTTATTTCCATACAAGTTGAGACTTTGCAATCCATAACCCT